GAAAAATCAATACACATTTCCAAACAAATTTCAAATATATACACAATAAAATATAACATCACAAACATTTGAAGTTAAATATATTGTTAATTAATTAAAAACCTCACTAACAATTTTAATTATTTAGAATTAAAAAAATTACTACCTCCGTCCCAAAAAACTTTGCTATTTGCAAAACTTTGATCGACTATATCTTTTTATTGAAAATTATGTATAATATAAAAATTATATGAAAATGTTCTCTGTTAAAAGTACTTTCATAAAAGTATCAAATTTATAATTTCCATAATATTATACTAATCAAAATCAATGTTCAAATTTTTTGAAATGACAAAGTTTTTTGGGATAGAGGTAGTAATATTTAGCATTAAAAAAGATACATAATTCAAATGACATGTCTAATCTGCATAGGCAGGGAAAATGACATAAGATTACATCCTTCAATCTTTCAACAGATATTGTATTATACTCTGATTGAATTTCAATTGGTATGAGTCAAATGAAACTGTTCTTGCATATATAAATCACTATGTCACGGATTTTGTCACGGATTTTCCCGTGACAACCTCTGTCCATACAACATTGATTTGGTGACCTTTGGAAATAGCAATTATTGAGCTTGGTCACGGATTTTGTCACAAATCCGTCCGTGACACCAAACGGAAAAAGAAAATTAATAATTTTGTCACGGATTTGATCCGTGACAAAATGTCAGAATCAAACAAAATTGCGCTGGCACCAGTTTCTGGTCACCGGAGCTGTGTTGCCACGGGCGTTGTAACGGAAAAATTTCGTGACAAAGTGTTTTGTCACGGATTGATTCGTGACAAAGGTTTTTGGTGACATGGGAGATAAATCCGTGACAAAATCCATGACGAACCTGTCACGGACCAAATCTGTGACAAAAATCCGTGACAAAAACGTTGTCTTTTGTAGTGTTACAAGTCAAAAACTAGTGTAAGGTCTTTAATGATGTTTTTTTAGTGTTTTTAAAGGTACTTTAATGATGTTTTTTTAGTGTAAGGTCTTAGTTGATGGTTTGAAAATAGTAGAAGAGTCAATTTGACCCTTTTCACTTATCATAGTCAGAGAGTATTACATTAGGAATATACACACAAAAGGTATTCTTCAAAATAAAGTGAATTTTAATTAATTTGTATGAATGTAACACTGTTTACTAAAATGGTGGGATTGGATATTTTTGTGCATAATAATACAATTGAATATTGTTTCAAGCAGGTGGAAATGTTCGCATATAAATCAACAAATATGAATCAGCGCAATGCAACACTCATTTCAAATAGTTTATCTCCATAGTATTAATATAATATGGAGCAATTGTTAAGTCAGGCCTAGGTTATCCTTAAAAATCATTATTAGGTACTGCTTTAGTCGTCCCATTTTAAAGTTCTGGCATACTATCCACGGCACGCAGTTAACATTACTTTAATTTAGTTAGTGATTTTACATAATAAACGTTTTCTCATATTCAAATTTAGTTTGTACCATTCAATAGAAGTTATAGTGTTTTTTTTTAACCCGGAAGGTAAATCACCAAAATCAGTGGGACAAACGTCGGAGAACGTTTGCGGGTGTATTATTAAAATAGGAGAAATGAACAATAGAAAGTTAAAGCTGTGCGGTGAACGTGGATCGAACCAATAGAACTTATAGTGTGTTAATTAATACCAATACACACGTACGAAGTGTATTATCGATCAGAACAGCCTTATTCAAAGAGGATCTCTTCTATAGTATCATACCTCTGAATCCTTGATTTATAATTAAGGAGACTAGATATATATAATCAGTAAATAATAAAGAGGTATTTTAAGATCAACCATGCATCGTCATTATAAACGAAAGGGTAAACAATGAAATAATACTAGTATAATTTTAAATCTTGAAATAGGACACCATTTAATTAATTTTATATAAAATAATTAAAATGGAAAAGTTTAAAGCATATGAAAATCAAGGCTACGAATATTAGAATATCTAATTAAATTGTACGGATCGGAGTAATAAATTACGAAAATATTATATACGTGTTTGTAATTTAACTAATTTTTAAAAAGTAAAGGAGTGCAGACAGGGACGGAACCAAGGGGTGTGAGGCTGGTAAGCCGACCCCGCGGAAAGTTTGAGAGTATAGAGTTCTGAAATATCTTCGAATTAATATTTTATGGGTCCTATAACTCATTACGAGTAAAAAGTTATGACTTCTGATAAATTAGCACTATCTAAACGTAAAATAGCAAAATTGATGCATCCTATAGATGATTTTCCCAAATTCTAAAAATAGAGTATAATTCACTCAATACTTACGTGACAGGACTCAAAAATATAGCAAAGAAAGTCTATATTATTGTTACGAGTGTCTATTTATCTAAACTATATATGAAATATTTAACTAGCTCGGACATTGTTTAAAAACAATCCATCATTTTTATTATGTATATAAGTTGAGTTTCGATCCCTAACCAGTTTTTCTAGCTCAGCCATTGAGTGCCGTGAACATGCATGATGCATGACGCACTTCAAAGTTTATCTCTGCATGGAGGTGACTAAGTGAGTAACATAGTGCTGTTTGCTTTATTTTTGGAGAGTATTCCCTTCTGAGTTGCCACTTCAGATGGTATAAACGCATGCCGTATCTCCACTACATTCGTATGCCGTCATTATTATTATTATTATTATTATTATTATTATTATTATTATTATTATTATTATTATTATTATTATTATTATTATTATTATTATTATTATGGAAAGGCATTTTATTAGGATAAGAAAATATTATAATGAGTAACTGATAAAAAGTTATGACTTTTGGAAAATCAGCACTATCTAAACGTAAAATCAGCAAAATTTAATGCATACTATAGATTTATTTTCCCAAATTTTAAAAATAGGGTATAATTCACTCAATACTTACGTGACACGACTCATAAACAAAGCAAAGACAATATATCTTATTGCTACGAGTGCCTATTTATCTACACTGCATATGAAATATTCAACTTAGACATTGCTTAAAAACGATCCACCATTTTCATTCTGTATATACGTTGACTTTCGACCACTTGAACCATTTTTCTAGCTCCGCCATCGTTTATGCCCACTCATCTTGATGTATCATCCTACCTAGCTATGCCACTTGCAATAACCCGCAGTTATAAACATGAAAGTATATACATCAGTTTTCCGGCCCAGTACCTAGCAATTTTCCTTATTAATGTACGTAATTCTATCATGACAGTATTTCACCATTACATATAACCACATAAAAATAAATTATCACAGTTTCATTGATAACATTAAAATTATTCTTCATAATGTTGTTTGCCCGGAACTTATTTGTACACGACATTTGAAAATTTATTATCAAGTTGGTCTTTTTTAGTTGGCCATTCCAATTGAAGTTGTAATAATAGCAATATTCGCATTTTTGCTATTGGTATGTACGGAGTAAGTATTAGTTGCACTGAGATCCGGTCTTGGACCCATCTAGCTAGGCTAAGCAGGATATGCTATATATTTTCAATATTTGGGAATGTGGGAAATCATTATATATTCCTCTTGTAATCTCTTTTTGTAAAAATGAAATCGAATTATATTTTGCAAAACAAATCTTACCTAACAAATTACTTAATGTAGGTAATATATACTATGTGATTTTTACTCCGTATTTGAAATTATTGCATTTGTAAGGATATATGTAGTACATTTATATATATAGAGTTATTCCTAATATATGAATAAAATAAAATCATGGATAAAAAAGTGACTTAAACTCTTTTAGTGACTACAAACATATTTAATTGTATATGTTAGTGACTATTTATGAAAATGAACATATATTACCTTTAGTCGCATTTTTATGTATAAATTTTACTGTCTATTGAATACTTTGTAATAATTTTGGGAAAACATCTTTATATTCACTTACTCCATAGTATAATAATCTTACCTTAGTACTACGTACGAGCTCATTTGGTAACCCTATTTTTCGGCTTATCAAGCTTGTTAGTCAATGTTTTCATTAAACACGTAACTTTTGATTCCGCGCGTCATACTGTGTAATAATAAGAAAAAGTAAGGTTTAAGTAATTTTTCTGACTGTATTGGCTGAAGTGATCATTTTAACTATTTTCATACAAATTTTTCTTTATTTTAATAAAACATATTTTAAATAGGGATATTTGCAATTTTAGTCCTGTAACTTTCGAGTGTTATCGTTATTGGTCCTGTAACTTTAATCACTTGCAAATTTGGTATTGTAACTAATAAATATTTGCAATTTAAGGACTTTTCCACCGGAAAGTACACTTTCTGGCAGAAAATCCAACGCCAACAACATCTTTTCCTGTATACTATCGCTGGAAAGTGTACTTTTCAGAGAAAAAGTCCTTTAATTGCCAACATTAATTTTTTATTCGACCAAATTTGAAAGTGGCTATAGTTACGAGACTAATAATGAAAACTGTCGAAAGTTACAGGATAAAATTTGCAAATTTCCCTTTTACATATAATTTTTCACAAATCAGCAGAAACAACCAATCTAGTCACTTCAGCCACAATTTCATAAATTTCTGCAGAATGAGCCGACGATAGTCGATTTCGATATCACCAAAAGTGCTCAACATCTCTCCCCATTCATTACTAGCTAGCCTCTTTTTCGCTTTCAGTTTTGAACACTAAACTTATTTCAAAAATCGTACCTAGTGCGGAGTATTACATAATGCTGCAATTTATATGAAAGTATTCTTAATTCAATGTACCTTTTCAAAAACATGAAATTATATATGCTTCACTAATTAAAATTATTGTATATATACACTAATAATCAAGTACGTATATACATATTCGTAGTATACACGTTTACATGGATTTGGAAAACCATGACAAGTCAAAATGAGATAGTGAAATGAGATGTAATAATGATCAAAGATCAAGTTGATAAGTTGTGAGTTCCAATTTGCTTGGGCCCCGGGGCAGGCTTTACTTGCATGAACTCGCTATAAATAGGGCTTCAACTTCATGCCTTCTCATCTATCACTTACTTAGCTAGCTAACTATAATCTATCACTTAATTCGTAGTTATTGTTTTAATTAAACATATATACTTGAGGATGAAGATGGGATTCTTGTTGCCTTGCATGTTTTGCTTCATGTTTGTCTTGGGAGTTGTTCAAGTCCAAGGTTCCCACATTGTCTTGCAAAACCTCGAAGCTCTTCAGCCAGCTTTTCCCAACCAAACTTATCGAACCTCTTTTCACTTTCAGCCTCCTAAGAACTGGATGAACGGTATAGTATATATATCACTCCATTTTTAGCCCACCCAAATTCACACATTGTTGAATAATTTAATAAATATACACACAACTCGTTTCTATTTTCAAGTTCATGTTTTGGCGCAAAGTTATGTGATCTGGTGTCATCATTGTTACCCTCCTAAAGTGATCGACAAGATCGATGTCACATGTTCGAGTCCGATCTTTCTAGTCTTCATTTTCACTCAAAGAGATCATTATCATTGGATACTATAGTGTAACTTAGAAGCTTTGCCCAAAAAATGTTCATGTTTTGACCAATACGCACGAAATTAATATGCATCTTTGGAGTGTAATGCACCAAACCCTCTTTTGATATACTACTTACTTCATATAAATTTGGCGTAGTAGCCCCTGCAATTGAAAATATGTCCAATCTCACTGTATTATAATTATTCATGTGAAAAATCCCTTCCAAAGATATTCTGATCTAATTTTTATTTTTATGACCACATACATTTTAGCATAGTCTCCAATCTATAAGTTAATTAATCTTCGTTCAATCTTTAAAAAACAAGATTGAAAGGAAGAAGTAATAATTTAGAAGTGTATTTTATAATTCTTGCTTATAATTTTAGCTTAGGGGTGTTTGAAACTGATTCTGATTCTGCTTCTTTTTTAAAGCACAAGCAAAATCAGAATCAGTTTTCAGAAGCTTGTCACCCCGAACATCTAAAAAACTGATTCTAGGAGTAAATTAGAGCACCAGAATCACTTCTGCACTTTTATCCAAACACTCCAACTTCTGCTTCTGCTCCCTGAAAAAGCAGAAGCAGTTTTAAGAATCAAATCCAACACCCCTTAGTTCTCTATCACTATGTTTCCTATCAATGTAAACTTGAAAAAAGTGCCTATAGTTCAGCAGTTCTTTTGTTTGCATGTAGTCGCATAGGTGGGTTGGAGTCAAACTCTTTCCCTCTCATTTATGAATAATACAGATCTTACATTTATGCATTGTCGCTGATGATTCTTTCTTTCTTTCATGCGGTGCATTGATGCGGCGCCCAATGACGAATAACTAATCGTACCTATATGCATATATTACAGATCCAAATGGTAAGTTGTTTACTAGAATCATATGCATATATCAAATTAATTTTATATCTGGAAATTTGTAATTTTAATCCCTCAACATTAGACTATTTTCATTATTATTAGTCTTAACCTTTAATAACTTGTAAAAATATGGTCTTATAATTAGTACTTTTTTGTAATTTAAGGATCTTTCCCCTGAAAAACACACTTTCCCCCAAAAATATAATGGAAAAGATGCAACCAATGACGGGTGCCATAAATTAAAGTAATTTTTAGTGAAAAAGTTCTTAAATTGCAAAAATTTACTTATTAGTTATGTTACCAAATTTGCAAGTGAGAAAAGTTAAGGGTAAGACTAATAACAGTCATAACAAACTTACACGACAAAATTGTAAATCCCCCACATTTCTATCATTTTCTTTATAGATTGGTGATGTTAATTTAACATTGGTGACGATCATTATAGGGCCTATGGTTTACAAAGGTGTATACCATTTATTCTATCAATACAACCCAAAAGGTGCCGATTTTGGCAAAATATCATGGGGACACTCCACTTCAAAAGACCTAGTAAATTGGAGAGCTCATATCCCTGCAATATCTCCATCTCAACCTGCTGACATCAACGGTGCATGGTCCGGCTCGGCTACCATCCTCCCCGGAGGTAAGCCCGCCATGCTATACACGGGACACGACTCAAGACACCGTCAGGTCCAAAACATGGCGGTGCCCAAAAACCCATCTGACCCATATCTCCAAGAATGGGTCAAATCTCCTAGAAATCCATTGATCACGCCAACGCGCTTCAACAAGATCAATGCGACGTCGTTTAGGGACCCCACCACTGCATGGCAAGGCAGGGATGGCAATTGGAGAATCCTCATTGGTAGTAAAGTGGACCGGCGCGGATTAGCTATCATGTACAAGAGTAAGGATTTTGTTCATTGGGTACAGGCCAAACACCCCCTTCATTCAGCTGAAGGAACTGGGATGTGGGAGTGCCCGGACTTTTACCCTGTTTCGACTAGCCCGATGGGCTTGGACACGTCATCATTAGGCTCGGGGATCAAACATGTGTTGAAGGTGAGCCTGGATGACACCAAGCACGAATACTACACCATCGGGACATACGATCATGCCCGGGATAAGTATATCCCGGACAAAGGATCTGTGGATAGTGATTTTGGGTTGAGATATGACTATGGTAAGTTTTACGCCTCAAAGTCGTTCTATGACAACCTAAAGGGCAGGAGAATCCTTTGGGGTTGGATAAATGAATCCTTGCCAAGCACCGAATATGTTAAACAAGGATGGTCAGGGGTTCAGGTAACTAATCTACATCCTAGTAGTTTCTCTTTTACTCATCACACGTGTTTGAATTATGTCACACGTATAATATAATTAATGATTGAATTCTTAATAATTAAGTGTAGGACTAGTATTATATTGGACTAATTAATTATTCTAGTCAATTTCATAATTATTATAATGATTTCTATCATTACTATTATTATTATTACGTAGTACTAGTATATATTATTGAATGTTTAATTTGCAGGGAATCCCAAGAAGTGTTTGGCTAGACAAAGCTAGAAAACAACTTGTTCAGTGGCCTGTTCAAGAAATCGAAACGATGCGCGGGAATAGGGTTGAGATGCATAGTATTTTGCTCAAGAAAGGGTCTTCCCAAACTGAAGTTTCTGGAATCAAAGCCACACAAGTAATTAATATTGAGTATTGTCATTATATTATTATTACATGGAATTTTCATCAACTATCCACCCTTGTGTTACATATACAATTAAGTTACATTTTCACTTTTAAATTCATATATATATATATATATATATATATATATATATATATATATATATATATATATATACACACACATATATATATATATATATTTAATACGCTTTAGCTATTAGCAGTTATTTAATACTATCGTATGAAGTAACAAATAATACTCCCTCCGGTCCTTATTAAACTTTACACTTTGACTTCACACCTATTAAGCAAATAAATTTGACTTTACTGTAGAGTACACTGTTTAACACTGTTTGACACTGTTTTGCACTATTTGGTGTATATTTGTTTGCCAAATAAGCCAAATAAGGAAGTGTAAAGTTTAATATGGGACGACCCAAAAAGGGAAATGTAAAGTTAATTAAGGATCGAAGGGAGTATTAATTTGAAGTTTTTCCTCAAGTAGTAAGTTATAGATAAAACGAGATTAAAGTAATTATGAGCACATCATCAACACTTCCATTACAATAATAGTTGAACATAATCGTAGTTTATTAAAATTAACAAATATAATCATTGCGCGTAAGTCAAAGGTTATTTGATCCAAGATACAATGTTTATTTTAGTCATATATTTCCTACATTTTTTTGTTGCAACGCTTAACGTCCACTCTCACATTTACCAACAAACAAATTTAACAATGTTTAAAAAAAATCTAATATATTAATAAATAGTGAAGTGCAAAGTAAAATTGAACATGTTGTAATTATTTAATAGCCAATAGTTTAACTCATTATTTTCATGAAATTATAACATCAAAGTGCTCTTAAACAATTTGATTTCATGCATGTTCATTATTGAACTTGTGGTTTATAATTGATTTTATAAGTGTGCGGAATACGCCAAAAGTCTTTCATTGTTCGTGAAAAGTATTCCATTAATTTATTATGCGAATTAATTGATCGCAGGCAGATGTTGAAGTAGCATTTCGAGTATCAGATTTTGGAAAGGCAGAAAAGATGGAGTCCGGATGGAAAAACCCTCAAGATTTATGTAGTGAGAAGGGAGCGTCAATAAGAGGAGGAATAGGGCCGTTTGGCTTGAAGGTTTTAGCTTCCAAGGATGGCCAAGAATACACAGCTGTGTTCTTTCGAGTTTTCAAAGGAAACAACAATAATACTTTTGTCGTGCTTATGTGCAGCGATCAAAGCAGGTACGTTGTCTACTTGTTGTTCCATAAAGTGGGCGGAGTCAGGGCACTCGATCAGACTCGACCGATACAAAAAAATATTTTCGAATTTTTAAAAATATAGGCATTTTTTAAATTTGGGATGGGTCAGGGCATAGACTGGACACCCCAGCTACGCCCCTGATCACTCTCATCCACTGTAACTTTACCAACTTTTTTTTGTTGTCATGCAAACCTTTGCTATTTTTCATTTTTTTAAAACCATTTGTTGTGCTTCTTGTAAATTTTTACTTTATTATTCTATAAATCAGACAGTTTAGTTGAATGTGTTTGCCTTTTTCAGGTCTTCGCTAAATAAAAACACTGACAAGACAAGCTATGGTGCATTTGTGGATATAAATCCGGTGCAGCAAGAGTTATCAATCAGGGCATTGGTGATTCCCTCCCCTCTTATCACTTTTCAACATTCTCCCCCTCATTACGGAGTTCAATTAATGTTTGATGTCCGTTTATGTTTTAAACTTGTCTAGCATCACTCATCATCAACCGTATAGATTTGTACTTTAATTTACACAAAAAAACTACAGAATTGACATGGAAATGTCAATTCTGTGCCAAAAACACTTTGGCACGAGCGATTTGGCACGAAAAATCGATTAATCCGTGATAATAAATTCCGTGTCAATCTCGTAATTTTTTTGTAGTGTTAAATTTTTAGGCAGTTCTACAATTTTACTCAAGTAACCTATATAAAAAGTTATAAGTTTCACACAATTATAATTGCTGAAATTTTTGTGGGGACTTTATAATTATTTATCAAGAAAAATGGAACTGGTCAAGTTTTGCACGTCTCCGATATAAAATTGATATCACAAATAAGTTTTTAATTTTTTTAACAATGAGTGATTTGCACTCCACAAATATATTAACACACATGAGCAATAAATTCAATAATAGCAATGAATATGTCAGTGTGTGGAATATATGTGTACTAATTATGCCATTACAATATGTTGGAGTAAAGATGTTTGTGCTCGGACTATTTATACTTCCCCACCAAATCAGATCAGATTAGATTTGGATATTATAAAATACATAAAGATCAGAATTTACTCGACTAGACCATAGTGGCCAAATTAGATTAAATCATATTAGAAAAATTTCAATTCAATTAAAAAGATTTTTATATAATGCAGATTGACCATTCGATAGTGGAGAGCTTTGGTGCAAAAGGAAAGGTGTGCATTACGTCAAGGGTTTATCCCACAATGGCTGTTGGTGACAAGGCACACTTGTTTGCATTCAACAACGGTGTCCAGGGCATTCAACTCACTAAACTCACTGCTTGGTCCATGAAAAACCCAACCATCAACTGATGATCCATTAATTATAATTATTCTTATATCTTATTTTCCCACATTTCGGATCACCCCCAAGTATTAATAACTCTTTTTTAATTTTTATTTATTTACTTGCGTGCCTTAATTGTACCATGTTACTATGTCGTATGTCCTGTTAAAGTGTTAAATAAACTATTGGCATGTACCTTTTTATTCTATTCCGTTTGAAGCCCTACATTTCTCGATGAAATGATCAATAAAAGAAATTAAATATTACCCGAAATAGGACTAAAACAGTTAGAAAATTCCAAAATAGGACTGCCATGTTTTTATTTCCAAAATCGGACTAATTACTGCCATGTTTTGACAGTATCAAACTTCAAACATGGCATTATTTTCTAAACATGGCAGTAATTAGTCTTATTTTGGGAATAAAAAACATGACAGTCCTATTTTGAAATTTTCAAACTGTTTTAGTCCTGTTTGGAGAACTTTCCCTCAATAAAATTATAAAACGGGAAAAAAGTATTCTATGATGGGCCTTGGACCGGTTGCTTGCTCCTATTCTGATCAGAAAGGCTCGTATTTATAGTACCTTTTTTTGTAATTGGGAGAAGGAGCAATATTGACCACTAAGGTCTAGACCAAGAACCACATTAGACACTAAGATTATTTTTTGAGCAAAAAAGTCACTTTAATCTTTTGGGGGCAAATATTCATGATTTTCACAATAATCCGTATGAATAGAGTCTGTCAAATCTACGTCGATTTAGAGAGAGAGGGGTGGAGAGAAGAGCGGCGAAGAGCTTAGTTTCACGGCAGCGGTGGTCCTAGCAAGTCTAGGTTTTCGGCGGGCGGCGCTATAGCTTTCTTGGCGTTTCAGTGTCCCGAAGTTTTGCTAGTTTTCCTCATCTAGAGCACATGGTGGGACGTGGCAGCACAGGGGAGATGATAGGGATCTGGAGACTGGTTGCGTTTGGACTGGTTGTGCTCGTGCGGTATGTTGGCCAAGAGATGGAGGCGAATCACCGGCAGATCAGGGTGGTGAAGGAAGAAGATGAAGGGATGAAGATCCGCCCCTCTCCTGAACCGCTGACATGCTGGAAAAGGGTGATTAGGGGTCGGAACACCACGCTGGAAGATTGGTTTCAGCGGCTCAATAAGTTCATCCTGCTTAAATTCATTGTCCCCATTTTTAGTCTGTTTTCAAAGAAATTAGTTGCTATCGTTTTGCTTTTGCTATTTGCTTATGGTAATAGGTTTTTTACATTGATCGAGGGTTCGGCTAGATTTGATATTGTTAGTGGGGGACAGATATATTGTTTCAGCAATAGCTGCATTAAGCTCGTCTGGTGGTTAGCGATTCGTATTGCTCCTTTAGGGGTGGTCGTCTCTATGTCTAATCGTAGAGCTAAGAGTAGTAGTTGGAAGGTGAAGGTTGTTGTTAGTTCTGGTCATTTTGAGATTGTTGTAACGATCCTTATTCTAGTGATATCAATATAGTCGTTTTCCTTTTAAAAAAAATCTTTTGGGGGCATATTGCCCACCCATTCACGGATGTTACCATGTCACCCCATGTTTCCATCATCTTGTTTAATTTACTATTTTATTGTGTATCTATTTTGCATTTATCCAGTTTCTTTCTTTTGTATTATTTAATTATCTTTTTTATATTGGTTTTACAATTTATAACTTTCTGTCATTTCTGTATCTAAGTTTGAGAAGCAAAAAGATTATAAGCTAATTTACAACCGCAAGAATCATAATAATTTTTTATGGAGTTGGTTTTTATAATTTAATACTTTTTTATATTATTATTATTATTATTGTGGTTATTATTATTATTATATTTATGACTTATAACTATACTCATAATTTTAATTGTAATTATAACTATAATTCTAATTACAATCACACCTATAACTATAAATATAATTATAATTAGAATTACGATTATAACATCTTTGTTATTATGATTATTATAGTTGTAGGTGAGCTTTATAATCATTTTGTATATATTTATATACAAATACAGATAAAAAGACTTAAAAAACAAGAAAAAAAGAAACCGGAAAAAACACAATACCCCTAATAACATAAAACTGTCACTATTTTCTAACACAAATGTGTCATCATCACTTAGTGACACTCAAACATTTTTTACGTACTGTAATTTAACGCGCATAAGTATTTGGGTCGCAGGCCTGCAGAGGTTAATATACGGAGTAATAAGACTTCAGTACTTAGGTTTCTCTCTCTCCCTTCCAACTTAGTTTACATCTGCTCGTGATTCCCATTCTTTCTACGAGCCCTAGCTCCTCAATCGAGGAAAGACCCGTCACAATGAAGACGCCATTGCCGCTGCTCCTAACGACTTCAACGAAGACGACGCCGTAGATGCTCGTGACTACTTCGATGAAGACGACGCTGGTGCTGCTCCCGATGGCTTCGACAATGACCGTTGCTTCTCCAGACGACTGTGACGGTGACTGCCGCTGCTCCAGGTTAACATAAGAAGACCCAGGCTCTCCATTAACTTTTGGTGCACCGCTCTGCATCAACGGGTGAAGAGGACGCACAAATATTTGCTCTCCGACCATAACCAACAGTCACCTCTCTTCCACCTGAGGTAAATTCTCAATTTTTTCTATTTACATTGTATTGTTTCTTGTTTTCACTCAGGCTAAATATACTGGTTTTTTCCTTGAAATTTCAGAGAAAACATTATAAGTTCTAGGTAATTAGTTTTTGGTATACAAATTTCATTTAGGCTGCAGAGCACCCTCAAAAAAATTTATGACTGTAATGTCATGAAACTTCAAGGAGGGAGGATGGGTGCAGTAAACGGAATGCACGTACCCTAATGGCAAGGTGGATGAGACTTGGTGCAGTCCCGTGAAATTTGGACCGGAGTCACCTATGGTGTTTTCACCTTCATTGTGATCAATTTTTGTAAGTTGTAACTGAACTTATTGTGTCATAAACTTACATGAATTGGAGGTGGGTTATAATACATTAGAGAACAACTTACATGTTTTGATCGATTTTATTTAATAACTAGAATTCATAGTTGTAAAAGTTATATCTCTTAATATACTGTTTCTATCACCCATAAGAGAGGAAACTATGAAATTTCAGGTTTCTTTATAGTTCATCCAGTTTAACAAAAACATCCACTGTTAGACTTTGAACCGTTGGATGGTTGTGATTTTTCAGCAAGGGTTTGTGCTCGTATATTTCTACATTATGAACGGTGAAGATATGGTTTGGAAGTGAGGAGGGTTGTTATCACCCTGGACAAATTAGCGAAAAAACATTTATGTTTTAGTGAAGTTCTTTAACACTTACAAAAACGTCCAATGTTAGACTTTAAACCGTTGGATTGTTGTGATTTTTAGCTGAGGTTTTTACTCATATATTTCTTCAAAATGAACGGTGGAGATCGGGTTTGGAGGTGAGGAGGATTGTCATTAGCCTGAGCAGATTAGTGAAAAAACATTCTCTGTTTTAATGAAATTCATGGTTTCTGTTTGACTGTCTCCATACGTTTCAGATTAGTGACAATAGCCTTTCATCCCATATAGGCATATACTATGTCAAAGATTGTTTTAAACCATGCATTCATCCATATACTATTAGCTTAAGCATTAAATTTTAGAATACTTTTTTTGTAGCATGGTAAAGCAAATATTTTATTTATTCAACCAGAAAACCGGAATTCAGATTTGCAGTGTAACATTGCTGCCACCATGATTCTTGCTGGGATGGAGAAGCAAGCCTTCAAAACCGGTGAAGGTATATTTATTGGAGGCTGGTCCTAGGAGGGCTTTGGGTAAGGTTTTTACTTTTTTATTTCATTTGATCTTCAGTTTTTGTTTTTATTGACAAGGTTATGCAAATAGATATACAAGCTATTGTCAAATTTTGAGAAGCCTACCTGGAGCTAAATTAAGCTTAGGCCTCACACTCAACACGCACAACATAAATTATTAGCAGATTTGGCACATGCTTATAATTTTTATTCATTGCATGTATGGCAGAAATAAACAACCTGGTTGACTTGTTGTATCTAATCCAACAACCTTTTATTTCATTTTTTAGATAACGTCTTTCCCTCTTTTAGGATTCTGTTTGACTTCTATCATCTTATTTTACATCTAAATTGTTTACTTGCTATTTAGATTGTTAAAAGTTCAGCTATCTTAGTTACTTGATTAAGATGCCGATTTCCCATTTCAAATTTGCAGATTTTTTAACCATATATGTAGAATAACAAGAATCTAAATATGAATAGAGGAAGTATCAATGTATCATACTCTTGTTTAAATCCAAATCTACTTTTATCTCCTACAGAACATCAAAGTAGTTGGTGATGTTGTTGTATAAGTGGTTAAAAGTGCTGCTTTAAAGGTGTGCTCTATTAGTTATCTTTATGTTGGTCAATTTACTTTCATTCTAATGTGGTTTCACAAGTTCACATATTTCTTGGTTGTAACCAAGTGTTCCACTTCATATGATTTTGGAGCTCTAGTAGGCAAATAATAAAGAGTCTACCATCGTGGTTGCTTGTCGAGCTACATGGACAGTAGTTGACGTTACTATTGCAGTGGAAATGACAAAGTTGGTTTCTATGCTTTTGTGATTGATTAGAAGTCAAAATTTTCAAGTTAATTTTCAGAATTAGAAGCTAAAGCTTGTAACAGTTAGAAGCTAAAACTTGTGAGTTGAGTGGTTAGTTTGGTGTCAATTGTGAGTTTTAACCGGGAATCATCCACCTAGATTTAATTCTATTTCTTCTGCCTTTCACTTTTTATGTGGGTGATTTGGTGTTTGCTGCAGCTTATTATTTTTTCCCTAATGGAGTTCAGAGTTCTTGAAAATCATCTGTGTTGGAAAGCGTGGTTGGGAGGGATTTTCTTCCTCGAGGATCTAGTAAGCCCTTTCATCCCGTGGAGTTCGATTTGGAAACTTTTTCTAATTGAAAGTGTATTGTTGTTGTTTCAGGAATTGTTACAAGGAGGCCATTGGTACTGCAGTTGCACAAGACTGATGGTGGGCAGCAGGAATATGCAGAATTTTCTCATTTGCCACGCAAAAGATTCACCGATTATTTTTGTATGTGAAATATCATTTTCTTTGATTTGTCATATTTTCTTATGAAATTCTAGAAGGAGCAAGTTTTATTATGCTTGTATTGTGTCATAGCATTCTGTAACTCTAATAGTAAGATGGACTTGGTAGTGTGATTGTCTAATATATCTTCTGTAGTCATAGTATGC